TAATAATATTGAGCAAACTTAATGTACTGGAACAAGTAACATCAGATGATAATACCCAATTAAAAAGTACAGATATTGTAGTAGGCAGGAAATCATGTGTGCAAGCATACTAAGCTGAGGAAGAAAAATTAAAAATGACAGATCTCAGAACAAAGATGGTTCAAATATATGTAATAATAGAGGAGGAAATGGATATAACATCTAGAGAAAAGGAACAGAGATTCCCAAGTATACAGTATCTGGGCCAGTGAGCAGAACAACATTGAATGGGTTCCTACCACATCTTTAGGTAGCTCCCTGAATACCCACATGACCAGGTCAGGGGAAGAGTGCCCAAGATTCCCACCAGAATTAAGCCAATGAACTTTTTTTTTTCCTTGAAATCCTGTGGCTCACGCCATTGGAAAAAAATCCTCCCAATGGCTTTTGGGCTTCCCCAGTAACTACACTCCAGTACTTAGATCACCACAGAAGCCCATGCATTTAATTAGTATCTGAGCAAATTATCTGTTCCAAACACATCCCAAGATGAGACTTTGATGGTAGGCTGTAGGACGTATCCTTATTCTGTTCGCATACCCCCGAGACATCATATGCATTTGAGTGCCTCAAGGTCCTGCTTTGTGTTTATGGTATTTGCTGTTAGCACTATTTGTGTTAGATTAGGTGTGTCACTTCTCCTTATATAGTTCCAGGAGAAACCATAAAATCTTTTTCTGCAGAGAAGAAATTGGGAGCAAGATGATATGTAAGAGCTTAAAACTGAGTTTTATTTTTTTCCTTTTTTAACTTGAAAACGGCACAGACTCTCTCAATAAGAGATCTGTTTTCTATTCATAACAGTCTAACCATGCAAACAAATGCCTGGTGAAGTTTCATAAAGGTTTCTTAGAAGATGATGAGTCTTGGAAAGCAATCAACTCCTCCAAGAATGTCCTTTTCTAAGAAATCATTATATCCTCCTTGGGCAAAGCTAATTTTCCAAACCAATGCATTTTGCTGTTGATTTTTTTAGGCCACAGAATTTAAAAATTGGTAGACCTCTTGCAAGTGAACACTATAGCTTCTTCAGCACAATTATCAACTGTAATGGACAGGAGGGGGATTTTATACAATATGTGTCACTGTGATTTATCTGAAGTAGAATGGGTTCAACTCCTCCTTCTCTTGGAAATATTGGTCTGACACAGTTAATTCCCAGCTGACAGCTGATTTAAGTGAACACAGGAATACTTCCTGAGTCAATGCCTATACAATCATACTCTTTTGAGATATGGCAGTATTGTTGGGGTATACAGTTTTTTTTTAACTTTACTTAATTCCCTGCCTATTTGCAGCAAAGTAATGGTATTATTCTGGTAAGAGATGGTTTCACTTGAAGACCTGTGAGCGTTGAAATCATAACAATTTTGTACCTCAACAACAGCATTAGTTTAAAGCAGACTGTGCTGAAGCAATGCAAGTAAGTTGTATTTCCACCATTTTCCAATATGCACCTTTGAGATTGCAATAATTACTGCTGCTGAAGCTAATGAGCAGCTAGTCCCAATCACATAGTTTCTGTGAGAAGACTGTTCATTGGGTAAAGAAAGTATCTGAAAGAAATATGGGAGTCCAGATGTATAGAAGACACAGGAAGTGATACAGTCCCCTGATGTAACAGTTCTTCAATCTAGAAGCTGCTTGAAAAGCCAATTTGTAATAGTTCAAAAAGTCAATTTTGTACAACTGAGCAATCATTATTTTATAATGATTTTTTGAAAAAGAAGTAAATACCTTCTCAATCCAGCACTGATTTGGAGTTAAAATGTAGGCTTGTGGATGAAAGAGGGGCTGCCACAAATGAATCTCATGGTTAGATCCCCTGCATAGCAGAAGGCTGAATTCAAGAGAAAGAGCAGAAAGAGAATCAAAGTCTGCATAGTTATAGGAATCTTTACTACGTCTCATTTTCAGGTGTGATTATCCACAAAGATGGGTGGCAAATTTGCATAGAGGTTAGGAGCAATGTTTGTTCATGTCATTATGCTGAGTTTATACTTCAGTGCCTTAAAGAAAAGAGTCCTAAACAAATGAGACTAAATGAAATAAAGCAAAGAAATAAAAACAAAATACCCAAACCCATGCTTTTGGATTTTAACTGAAGAAAATTTATAGTTGTATTTGCTGCTCTGCTGTTCAGAAGCATGCTTATAAAAACAAATTACTGTGGATTAATTTCAAAGGTTGCTAGTTTGTGGTTCAGTTTCTGAGACATAAGATTGTAAACACACACCTTTAGATCCTGATCTTGAAGAATGACCAGAATATGAAATAATCTTGGGTGTTTCCTGAAGACAACAAAATCATTTCCCCCCCTATACTAGAATTGGCCCTGGGTGGGCTGGAGGATCTGTATGCAGCCAGAATAGGTTACTAGTTGCATCACAAACCCCACCTCCAAACCAGATGAGACAACTGTGCTTCAGTAGTTCATTCTTGAAAGGGTTGCCCTACAACTGTGATGTAAGCTGTAAAAGTCAGCAAAACTGAGCACTTTTAAACCAGGATGGCACCAGGGAATAACAATATTCCTTTCCAATGGTAACATTCATAGTTATCTGGATTCACAAGAATAAATGAATTAGAAAGTGGGCCCAGTGCTTATGTGGAAGTGCCCCTAGTTGCTGATTCAAATATTATTGGATGAGCTAACATTTCCCAAGTTATTTGACACAAATAATGATTCTGCATGATTATTATCTTTAAATTGTATTGGAATGTATTCACTGTTTTATTATAATGCAAATTTTGTAACTAGAATGAGAACCTGGTTACATGATCATTTTTCTATCCATCTAGCTTTTGTTCAGTAGTAGTGAAAAAAGTGCTTGTTAGAACTGGAAGGGATCATAATAGTAAGGAAGGGATAATAGTAAGGAAGGGATCAAAATAGTAAGGATTTTGAATTGCCCTACCCCATAGAATCCCTTTTGATGAATGGTAGTGTCAAAAGTTTATGTGTGTGTGAGAGGGGGCCAGACTAGATGCCATGGCGCCTACAGGTCAGAACTATAGACACTAACATGTCTAGTTTGTCTCAGAGAGTGTAGGGAATTTTGGAATATTATTTGAGATGAAGACTGTGTAACATTAATACTTCTGTTTTGAAATTAGCTCCAGTAAGCTCAGTGAGACCTAACTACCACTTAAATGAGTTTAGAATTTCAGCCTATTATCTACTTGTGGTGTGAGCCTAATTGTGGTCTGAACTCAATAGGAGCAGCTGAAAACCGAGCCGTCCTTGTATGCGTAGTTTGTGAGGTTTGTGAAGATCATGGCAAAGAAACAAAACCCACTGATAAACTTCTGTATTTATGCAAAGGATTTTCATCCCAAAATTCTGGGTGAAAAATGATTATCAAATATACAAGTGAATTCCAAATAAATTCTGAAGAGCTACTTAAATCATAACCTTGATTAACTTCAGGCATTGAAACATAGCTACCATAATGCATACACATTGTGGATCTTCAGCGGCCTCATTTGCCATCACACCAATCCTGCCTGGGTAGTCAAGCTTACAAATAGACAACCATAGTCCATAGATTTTATGTAACTTGTCCTCATCACTATGGGTGCATATAAACTCAGGTCTGCCAGTTCCAAGGCTGGCATTATACGTACTGGTAGAAATGATGAGCACTGGAAATATGCTGTAAAGTTATTTAGCCATTTAGCTGTTGGAAAACCGGAAAGATGTACTTCACCAGAGCCTCGAATTGAAAGTCATATTTAGGAAACTGGGTTTGGTGATTCATTGTGGGTGGCATCTTGCCCTGTGTGAGTCAAGTCTGAACCTGTTCCACTGCATCGTTTTGAGCTGAGTGTGTTGCTGCTGAAGGTGCCCATTGTGTTTCTGTGTAAGAAATCAGTGTGGGGCCGTCATTATTTCTGTTCATTAATTTTTTGATATTCCATTTCCTACAACATGAACAAAAGAATAATAGCATTTATCAAATTGGTATTGCATAAAAACATAAGAAGAGCCCTGCTGGATCAGACCAGTGGTCCATCAGCATCCTGTCTCACACAGAGTCCAACTAGTTCCTCTGGATGGCCAACAACAGGGCACAGATTCCAAAACCTTCCCCTGATGTTGCCTCTTGGCTCTGAGATTCAGAGGCTTAGTGCCTCTGAACGTGGAGGTTCCTCTCTCTCAACATGGCTAGTAGCCACTGATAGACCTATCCTCCATGAATCTATCTAATCCCCTTTTAAAGCTGTTTATTCATGTGGCCATCACTACATCCTCTGGCAGTGAATTCCACATTTGAATCACTCTCTGTGTAAAGAAGTATATCCTTTTGTCTGTCCTGAATCTTCAGTCCATCAGCTTCACTGGATGACCTCGAGTTCTAGTGTTTTGGGACAGGGAGAAAAATTTCTCTTTATCAACTTTCTCTACCCCATGCACTATTTTCGAAACCTCTACCATGTCCTTCCTTAGATGTCTCCTTTTTTATAGTAGCAATACAGAAGCCATTTCAATTACATAGTAACAGCTTATTTAATTAAAAATAGCCATCCACATACCCACCTCTTAATGAGTCATTCTGCAGAGAAATCTGATCCTTTGGGGTATGCGTATCTTAAGGAAGAAAAAAGATTATTTTCCTCTGGATTTCTTTTTGATTAATTTTGTTTGAAAATATTTTTCTCACTGGGTGGTTCTGCGGAAAAAATATCTCCCTTTTGCCAGTGTTGACATTTTAACCTCTCCTGTGTGTTAAGCTAAAAGAAACCCAGCTTTTCTTGGTAAGGAAGGAGAGGAAACCTCACTATAGTGATGTATCCCAAACTGCGAGAAATTCCAGGTTTCCTGTGAAATAAACAAGTGCAAGCTTTGCTTTCCTCGTAACTCATTGGTCTTAACTGTGACTCAGTTTTAGGCTTGGTCTCTCAGACTTAGTGAGCTCAGCACTTAGGAGGAAGTGGGAGGAGGACTCCCAGTGAAGCTCTTGAATGCTGCTTAGTGTAATCTCTAGAAGAGCAGCTTTGCTTCACAATGGGAGAAGAGGTATGCCTGCCTTTAAATGCTTCTTTTTTTGCTTATTTCTACAACTATGTTGTAACTCACGTAACGTAGAGCACAGATGTTTGGCAAGAGGGCCTTTGACTAAATGTGTCATGGCATAGAAATGATGTGTTAAAAGTGAGAGACTTTTCACTGGAGTCTTAGAATGGAAAACAGCTCCATCTGTGCTTGTGAAGTAATAAGTAACATATTAAAATAAGTTACTCCTTTGCAAAGGCAGGACGCCCTGGAACTCTTTAGCTGCATTGCTCTTCCCTTTTGATCTGTAAATGTATACAGATGTTTTATAATACCCTTGATTTAATGTGGGCTTTTTGGGGGGAGGGGGGAGAACTGCCTTAAGACTTGCTGTTTAATATTCTCTCTCTCTCTCTCTCTCTCTCTCTCTCTCTCTGTTGGAAAAGTGTTCATACACTTGTGCTGATTTTTTTGAGAGTACAGTAATGTCCGTTTCCAAAATTAGTTAGGTATATTGAAGTTGTTGGTTTCCAGAAAAAAGATTTTTGAATTATTAATGTTGGTAAGCTTTTTGTACTTTGTGCTTGAAAAATAAGACATAATTATGTCTGCATATGAAACCTAGTTGTCATGGTAAAATTAATTTTTCATTACAATTGAACAGTTTCTACCATTGTACAATGAACAAACTGCTAATATACTATATGCCAGTCTCTTAGTGTAATTTTATATCTTTACGACACTAATTCATTTTGTGTATATGAGTGTGTTTAAAAGCAGATGTTTCATCTTCTGCTTGAAACATGGAATGGAGCTACATAGTTCCCAGTGTGCCATGTGTCTTTCCTTTTCCTGTTTGGAACAGAACAAAAGAGAATGGAGTGGATGTAAGGATAGCATTTTAACATTTTGCTACATATTGAAATGTCTGAAATATCCTTGAAATATTTTGAACATATGAAGTGAGAAATAACATACAGTCATTTTTTAAAAATTAACATTGATAATCATTGTTAGAGTAAGAAAGAACACAATCCCTCAAAAATAAAATCTACAAAAAAGGCCTTTGCAAGCCTTATTGGAATGCATCTGTTACATTTTTATTCCAGCATTCTTACAAAGAGCTCATGCTGGTTAATCTAGTCTTCCTGTTTTATTCTTACAACACCCCTTTGAGGTATGATCAGCTGAGAGAGAGTAATTGGCCCAAGGTTATCCAGTTAGCTTCTTGGCTGATGGGGACGAACAAGGCTCTGCCCAGTCTTAGACTGACACAATAATGTCACAGATTACTGGCAGTGGAAAATATGTGTGAGTCTGTATCTGAGCTCTTGCTATTTCCATTTCAAAGAGAACTGTGAAAAGTACCTGGAGGACTGTGTCCATAAGCATTCATTCTCGCTGCAGTGATATAGAAAAAAGTGGGCTAATACTGAGAGTTTCTGGGCAACCCTTTTGACAGGACTGCTGAGATCATAACTGGTAGCCCTTGTGCCAGAGTGCTTCCCACTGCTGTTTTGGTGCTGGCTTTATTGCATCATTTTGGCATTCAGCAGATTTCCTAGTCTCTGTTCAAAGGATCAACTGTGTGATAATCATCTTGTCTCTGGACGTGGCAGTCACAGATATTAGAATCACATAATCATCAGTTTGCGTTCCAGCTACAAGTATCTTACAAATTTCTGTCAGTTTCTATTCCTCTGCATAACCTATGGAATAAGTTGACACTTGGATGGAAAAATGTGTGGGTTGTCTGTTTCCTTTTCCATGAACAATTGTGCTGTTTTCCATAAATATCAATCTAAAAAGAAAATAAAAACTAAAGGTGGGCAGAAAGCAAGAAAAGGTACTGGTGAGAAAAAGGAATACCAAACCAACCTTCTAGAATAGAACTCAGGAAACTGAGAAATAGTTGTAAATGTAAGCAATGAAGAAGTAAAGTCAGTGTATTTGAGTGGAAACATTTTATGTATTGTTGAAGATGCATATGCTTATTGTTAGTTAATTTAGGATAGACCTGTACCCTGATCTTTAGTTGTAATTAATCCACATTAAATATAATTTAATTTAGTGCAATGTTAAAAGCAATGTTATAGCCCATCACCTAAAGAAAAGTAAGGTAGGTATCAGGCAAGCCTCATGGGGGAGAGTGCATTCCAGAGGTGACATACCACCATTGAAAGGCAGCATATAAATGTTTTAAGTAAAATAAATAAATGGATAAATAAACCTGCCAGAGAATTATATGTTACATTTTTAAAAAATAAAGTTTTGCTCATGAATGGATCAGATGTATGCTAACTTTATTTCCTCTGAGTGGTTTATAAATATGAAAAATGAATATATGTTTTGAGGACTCAGGAGAAAAAGAGCTGACAAATCTGAATACTGAAACACTGTTGACTGTGTGAGAGAATTACATTACCACTGCACAGAATGTATCTTTTCTGGAAATATGTTCTACCAGTACTTGAATATATGGTGTCAGAGGCTTTTTTTTAAAAAATGTGCTTTTTCACAAATAAGCCTTAAGACACTAATGTCACAGCTTAAAAAGAGGCTCCAGGATACTGACATTCAGCTGAACCTTGCTGATTCTCTGAGCCCTAATTACCTAGTTCAGAATGAAGGCAGACACTGCCTGTTTCTTCTAGTGTTTAGGTCTATTTAACACTGTAGGCATCTTTTCTTGATTCAATATTTGTTATAGCTGGTGTTTGTCTAGTCTTGTATTTTAAAAGGGAGCTGTGCATCACCAGGGGTCTTTTCGTAGAAAAAGAGCTGCAGGAGCTCATTAGCATAAGGTATGCCAATGAGCTACTGGCTATTAGCATAATAGCTCATTAGCATATGTCATGTCCCCTGACATCACAGGAAGTGATTTCAGAAGGGGAAGCAAAGGGGGGGAGGCATCTTCAAAAGCCTCCCCTTCCCTTCCCCAGCGGGCCTGTGGGGGGGAAGCGAAGAGAGAAGGGGTTTAAACTTTAAACCCCTTCTCACTAGAGTTGGGCCACAGAAGGAGGAAAGAGGGAAAGAAAGAGAGAGAGTAGAGAGAAGAAAAGAAGGAAGGAAAGAGGGGAAGAAAGAGAAGAAAAGAGGGGATAAAAAGAGAGAAGGAAAGAGAGAGAGAGAGAGAGAGAGAGAGAGAGAGAGAGAGAGAAGCCAATGTTGGATCAGGCCGATGGCCCATCTAGTCTAACACTCTCACACAGTAGCCAAAAATACTAGGTCCCATTAGGAGGTCCACCAGTGGGGCCAGGACACTAGAAGCCCTCCCACTGTTGCCCCCCCAGCATCAAGAATACAGTGCATCACTTGCCCCAGCCTGAGAGTTCTTATCTATATCTTGTGGTTAACAGCCACTGATGGACTTCTGCTCCATAGATATTGGATAAACACAATTGCCTCTTGAAGCTGTCCATGCTTGTAGCCGCCGCCACCTCCTGTGGCAGTGAATTCCATGTGTGAATCACTCTTTGGGTGAAGGAGTACTTCCTTTTATCTGTTCTAACCTGACTGCTCAGCAATTTCATTGAGTGCCCACGAGTTCTTGTATTGTGAGAAAGGGAGAAAAGTACTTCTTTCTCACACCCTGCCTGATGCTTTGCCCCTCTCCCCCCCTCCCCACGGCAGACCCGTGCCAAGATTTGTGCTTGCTGCAAAACTTGTAGATCAGCTTCACAACTGGCCAAGCTTCTTATCTCTCATTAAGATGTATACCTACATGCAAGGGCATGAGTCATTTACAAAATCAAAATGGCTAATTGGTAACTGGGGTTGCCAGGTCCCCTCTGGCTGCTGTTGGGGGTGTGTGGGGGTTTAGGGTTGCCAGTTCCAGGCTGGGGAATTTCTGGAGATTTGGGGGTGGAACCTGGGGAGAACATGGATCTCAGTGGGGTAAGATATCATAGAGTCCACCCTCCAACACATCCATTTGCCCTAGAGGAAGTGATCTCTGTAGTTTGGAGATGAAATGTAACACAAGGTCAGAAATTAAAACATGAGAAGCAGCGTATTATTTAAAGCAATGGGGAAAGTGCTGTGGCAAGCAGAGTCCAGACCACAAATGGACAGGGCCCAAGTCAGAGAATGAAAGGAGGGAAAG